CAAGATCCAGAAGAGGAAAAGATGCATTTTCATAATGGGCATAGTAAGCAAATTGTAAAAAAATAAAAACAAAATAAAATAGGGAAGGCTTTATTGTTGGTTTTGTCTTTTTCTTAGGGTAGAGGATTTATAATAACCAGCCAAAAATATTGTGTTGAAGAAAGTGTTCTGTTACATTCCTGTAAAACACACGGGCTTGAACATTGCTGGCTGGCTCTAGACAACAGCTGGATGGTTTATTCAATTCTTAAAGAATACGCTAAAGAATAGAACTATTAAAATAAAAACTTTTTGCTTAATATAAAATCTATTATATTCCAAATAACATTCCTGGGCTAATTTTAATTCCTAGCAACACAATGAGTATAAATCTATCATTAAATAATACCGCTAGTTTAAATGAATAAAGTTTCTCAGTTTTTTTCTTTTAGTATTAATAGTGAGAATTTACCTGAACAGATTTTGTAGCAGCAGCCTTGATTCCAATGAACTGACAAAGATTACACTTTTAATGAATACAGAAAAAAAATTTTAAAGAGCTTTAAAAAATACCTTAAATGAATTCAATTATGGTATTTTAATGTTTATTTTCCCGTAAATAGTACAGTGTGAGTTAATTTGCCAAGTAAATGACAAAAAGTTTCTTCTGTTGTTATCACTTTGCCAGAGTCAAAATTGTTAAATCCATAGCTCGTGCTGCAAAGCACTGAGTCCATCTATTTCATAGTTCTATCTTATTTAATGATATTTAACCTCCCCCCAAACAAAAAACACTAAGAGGGTGATATTTTTTATTGGTAGCCTTTAAAGGTGATAAAACTGAGACTTGTAGAACATAGGCGTCTTGCATAATGTCGTGTATAGCGTGAGAAGCAGAATTTCTCTTTTTCTTTTGACTTCTGTATCAGCCTTATTGCACCACACCACCAGAGAAGTTATTTTAAATTATTTTTGTTAAATTAAAATTAATAATCTATGACGATATTTCTAGGTGAAACACAGAATAACAAACCAGCAAATGAACCACTAGTAGTTCATTGTCTAGTTGAGCAAAATTGTCTTAATTTGCCTACAGACCAACTCTTTGCATATTATCATTGTAAGATGTATCTACTCCAATATGTTATCACATACACATTTCTTGTGCATGCCCACAACGCAGACTTTTTAAATTATAAAAGTGGTATTGCTGTACACATGACTCTTCTAACTCAGGAGAGGGCCTGTCCTTGCAGCTCAGCTACCTCAAGGAATTAAAGATTTAAGCCATACTAGCATGTTAATAGAGTTTATAAATTTACTCATCCATCGTAATCACTTCCATTTTAATGCCCGTTTATTTTTGCAGTTAAACTGCCAGGAGTAAGAACTTATATCGATCCACATACCTATGAGGATCCCAATCAAGCTGTCCATGAATTTGCCAAGGAGATAGAAGCTTCATGCATCACCATTGAAAGAGTTATTGGAGCAGGTACGACAACGTGTTTAACTCTGACTCTTAACTTTTGTTTGTGCTATAGAATGTAATATATCAAAGTCCTGATCTAGCACAGAATGTTTTTAATCTTTTGTAATTGGCGTGCTTTCAAAGTGGTATGTAATTGATCACATTTTAATGCAACCTTCTGTGCAGCTCATGCTTAAACTAGCCAAGGTCTGGTTTATGGAACAAAAAAATAAACCAACAAAAACTCTATTTTCAAATAGGTAATATTTCACCATTTACCATATATATTTAGTGAATTTGTAATACCCTAAACCTGTGATTCCCCAATCCCGGGGCTACGATGGGTACTGGGCCCTGGCCTGTTAGGGAATGGGCCACATAGCAAGAAGTGAGTGGCAGCCACTGAAGAAGTGAAGCTTCTTGTGTATTTACAGCTGCTCCCCATCACTCGCATCATGGCATAAGCTCCGCCTCCTGTCGGATCAGCAGTGGCATTAGATTCTCATAGGAGCCCGAACCCTACTGTAAACTGCGCATGCGAGGGATCTAGGCTGAGTGCTCCTTATGAGACTCTAATGCCTGATGATCTGAGGTGGAGCTGGGGCGGTGATGCTAGCGCTGGAGAGCGGCTGCAAATACAGATTGTCATTAGCAGAAAGGTTTGACTGCACAACAAATGTAATGCGCTTGAGTCATCCCAAAACCCTCCCCCTACCCTGGTCCGTGGAAAAATTCTCTACCATGAAACCGGTCCCTGGTACCAAAAAGGTTGGGGACCACTGCTCTAAAGTATTTACATAATTCATCTCTGCCTTCAAATAGTTTTATTTTTATCTAGCTATAACCTTTCTTTTCATCTCTTCTCATTAATTATACTACTAGAGTAGAAGGAGAATGAAGAAAAAATAATTCTTAGTCAGTTGTTTTTCATTTCTTTCTAGTATTTTCATTAAGGTTTTTGTAGGTGACATGGATGAAGCTAATAACCCCAAAGTGTTTTATGATCATCTGTAGATGTTTTTTCCCAATGTACCATTTATTTTCTATTAACATTGATGATGATGTTTGCGCGCCCCTTTTTGACTCTTTTTTTTGGTCTAAGTTTTCATACTGTAAGAGTGTGTTAGAGTATTATTAGAGTATGAATTGCAAATGAGTTTGTGTATTTTTCCTATCTTTATCACAAGGTGAATTTGGTGAAGTTTGTAGTGGACGTTTGAAATTACCAGGAAAAAGAGAATTACCTGTGGCTATCAAAACCCTTAAAGTAGGCTATACTGAAAAGCAACGCCGAGATTTCCTGGGTGAAGCAAGTATCATGGGACAGTTTGATCATCCTAACATAATCCATTTAGAAGGTGTTGTGACCAAAAGTAAGTACAATGGCATATTGTTCATGTATCCGTCCATATCATGAATATTTGTCTAGATTATTGTTAATTTTGATTAGATAGAATCTAACCATTGTAATAAATTAATTCCTGTAATATTAATATTTGTCCTGTATTTTGGTGGATTTTTGGCAAAGCTGACATTCAATGAACCTGAATTTTTATTTATTTTTTCCAAAATATATGTATTAACTTATTTACTATGAAATCAGTAC